TACTTCTTCATTTGCTTTAAGGAAAACAGATGATTATTGATTTAGCGAAATTATTGGTTCCTATTCTATCCGAGTATGCTGGGGGACTTTGGGGAGAGCAGGGACTCAAACTTTTACGGCTCTTTTGGATAAAGACTTCAAAGTCATCACCTTACTAAGTCCCATGGAGGTTGGAGTCTTGATTTAATTGATAGGTTTTGGATAGTTTTCACAGTGGGAAAGGAAAGCCAAAGTAACCTTGTAGGTGAGGCCTTTGGGGTCAATACAGTGTACTGTTATTGCTTCCACATCTGAATGTGTAATAAAAAATTGATGTGTGACGTTATTGTAATTCTCTCTCCTGTAATTTCCAGAGGGCATCATCTCAATTAGGAAGAGCTGCATGTAATGAACGTACCTTGGGGGGTCCCCAAATCCTTCTGATCTCTTTAAGTGACAAGTCTCTGTGACCAGTGATTTTGCAAATTGGAGCTTCTGACAAAGGCAGCCTCTGCATGGAGGCACTGCTCGAGGTTGTGGACCCCTTAGTGTCCTGGCACAGCTACCAGGTATTTTTTGAAAATCAGCTGTTAGCTTGCTGTCGAGCTCTTGTTGAAACTGGACACCTGACTCTTGGAGGGCTTGTGACATTATGGCCTATATTTCCTTTTTTTTTTTTTTTTTGGTGGGGGATATCAATTTGGACTCAGTGACTAACAGAGTAGGATGATTTCAGCAGACGTCACTAATCAAATGGAAACGGTATATTCAAGAAAGTGGTCAGCTTATCCCTAGTGCAATCTCAGCTTTACACAAAAAAAGTAGCAGTTGCCCTCTGCTGCCACTCCACTGTCTGAAACAAAGGTAGTGGCTCAGTGGGGCCTTTCTAATTCCCAGTGCTTTTCCTAATGCTTGAGTCCGGTTGGATGATGTTTCGGCTGAGCTGAAATCTGATGATGTCCACTGAGCTGCTGCAGTTGTACAACCTGTCACAGCTAAGCAGACCTGAAAGTGGATGTGATTGCTCTACTCGCTCAGCCGAACTCCAGGCTGTTCCCATATTTTTACAGACTCTTGGATTGTAGTCAATGGCCTAGCTTATGTATCTCTCATTTGGAAAACTGCAGACTGAGATTAAAAATACTTTCTTTGGGGGCGAGGAGGGAAGGCTATGAATTCTTACGGCAAATCATCGCTGCTGATTGAGTCATCTAAGGCCTATACACTGATGAGGCCCACTAGGGTCAAACTGCTAACTAAGTCTCCATCACTTAAATTGCCACCATTGCTGCCTTGATGAAACATAGTACTGCACATGGCAACATATTTGCTATCACAAAATAGGCAAAAAGTAAAAAATTCTAAGTTTCTGATGCAGAGGCCACTACTGCATAGGATTTGTTCAGCTGCTTGGATCCAGGACTTTTGGGAGGAAGGGGCATGTCTGAAGTCCTTACTGCAGGCTGTTGTTCTTTTGCTAGTTGGAGTTCTGTTGAGAGTAGCCTTAATTAAATGTTTTATGAGATAAATTGAACAGATTTGGCCCCAGCCTTTGTTCATTAGATTAGGGAGCCAACAGAGTGGCCTTACTAACAGAAGAACTTGCCATATACCAAGATGGTATAAAAATGAGGGGTAGATATTATTGGGAAATAATTCTCCATGAGTATCTTGAATTTCAGTGTGTCTTGCAAAGGTTAAGGTTCTCTATGCTTGGGGTTCCTTTCCTGTAATGTAGTCCATTGTCTGTACAAGCATCATATGGTCCTCTTTGCTTCTCTTTGTGGGAGTTGGGGCTTGGGGAACCAGCACAAATACTCATCCTTTAGCTACTGCTATTTGCTGTGAGTGATAAGCTTTTTTTCTTCTCTGACTCGGGCATATTGTGCCTTCTGTCAGCATCCATGGCAGGCTCACTTGTTACCTTGCAATGTAGGGTAAAATTTCAGACCCTTCACCACTCTTCACAATTGGAAGCTATAAAAGATGTACCTCTTTCTCGATGTTCTCAAATAATCGATATTTATTTTTTGTCCATAGAAAGTACAAAATGATTGCTTCTTCTTGGCATGGAATTCTTATTTAAACAGTTATTCAGGGATTTAAGCTCCTTCAAAAAAAATTTGTTTGATATTTATTAGCTTCCAAGTTTGCCATACTCATTTGCATCAAGCAGGCAGAACGGAGAAATGTGCATGGGATATTTTCATAGGATAAGCCTAAACGTGGTGTATATCATTCATCTTCATGTTCCATTGACTGAAACTTGTTCAGAAATAACTTTTAGATAAAGGAGAAACACGGTCTCGTCCTGCGTCGATGTAGAAGAGAAATGGGTTTGGTGGAATATCTTTCTCACAGATGGAAGGTCCAGCCAATAGAAATTTTATGTGTGCTGATATGAAAGTGAGCAAAACATGACTTTGGCATGGCTGAAATCATAGGATGCATGAAGGAGACTGGTAGAAGATGAAAAGCTAGTCATGAATCATCTTTTACCTTAGGTTGATAGAGCTCTCTGAAGGTGCCTGGCAGATGCTGAAGGATTTTAAACCTGGAAAAAAGATAAGATTAGGGGAGAATACTTAGGAAGCTATAGCAACAGACCGAGTGAAGAAAAAGAGACAGTTTTAATGAAGCCAGTGACAGAACAGATTTACTAATACAGTAACAGGTAATTATTAAGCACACTCTAAGTATCATGCATTGTGCTGGTTGGGTGCTGGGTTTTTGCCAAAATAAAACCAGTAACAAATGGACCGATTAGTTGTAAGTGGTAAGAGAAAAGATAAAGAAAAGCATCTGGTGGGAGTAGAAGAGTAAGGTTTGGAAATAATGTGAGTAGAGGAGTAAGGTTGGGAAATAATGAGATCAGTTTTGAATCATCGAATTCTATATGCATTTAAGTAGATATGCCTAGTGGGCATGATTTGTGTATAGCTGAAGCTCCTTAGGAAAGTCAATACGGAGATAGTCATGCCCAGGAAGAGAAGGCTCTCACATCACACCTATTCGGTGAATATGTGTTAATTGACTTAATTTTTGTGTTATTCATTTGTTTTTGTTTTGTTTTGTTTTGTTTTGTTTGCTGATAAAAGGGGGAACTTGTTACTCTTTGAACTCACTGAACACATTATAATTTTCTTCTGATTTCTCAGGTGTTCAGGTAGAGGCAATATGCACCCGTGCCTGGAAAGACAAAATAGTAGCATTAGATACAAGAAGAAATCTAAAATGATATTAAGTGAGAATATGTTCTGCTTTAACTGAAATGGCTGTAGTTGGTGGCGGTCTATACTTTCTTCTGATAGCTTGTTACTTCTGCTAGCTACAACAGTGATGCACAGTGATATACTAAGCATATAGTTCACCTTAGAAAACACTATATTCTTTTTCGTTGTTAAACTTTGATGTTTAGTAAAGAAGTACCCCTCGTTCATGCATGCTCTAAGCTAATTGTTCTTGCAAATGCAGTTTCAGGACACAATCAGTGATAATGAGACCACATGGCTTAAATTGCCTAGTTTTATGTTTCATTTCTGCAGTCTTAGGACTGGAGATAATAAAAAAGAAGAGTGAGCTCCTCTTTATTTTCTCCACTTTCCCATACTATCCCTGCCCTTTATTGCCTGATTGAAATTATGCCTTCTTTTTAAATGAGGCATGATTTCATGACTGCCATCCAAAACCGAGCCTAAAGCTAAGGAACACCATGCTTCCTCTCTCAAACCTCCACCCTTCCAAGTTAACTGCGTGCGTCACAACCTGCTCAGATTATGCAGAAATAAGAATTCTATTTTCTTCTTGGTTAATTTTTGTTTATTAAATTGCCTGATTTCTTGGAAATTGTGAAGGGTGGTATGTGTATGTTGTAACAGGGTCCATCTGGGTTCCTCTACTTAGTACAGAATGCTAATAAAACCAAGTAACAGCTTTGGACTCCAAAAGAGCCTGTGAGCATTTTTCTATGTCATAGAAACAAACTGAGCTCTGTATTCAAAGCTACCACTTCACCAGTGTATGTCTTTGTTACAGGGACAGAATGAAGCAATATAAATTGGTCAACCTAAATTCATCATCCCTGATGAAAGGCAAAGCACAAAACCTTGAAGTACAAGTCATGCTGATCTGAATCAATGCTATCAGCTCTTCATTTGAAGAACTTAATGAGTTACCCACACTTAACTTGGCTCAGTGACACCAGGAGAGTGTTTGTACAGTCTGAAAAGATGTAGCCTACTTTTAATTTTAACTGCAATATGATGTTTAGAAAGACTTCTTGGTTTTTCTGTTTTAAATTAGTGTCCTTCTAAATATGGTATGTCCATAGTACTTAATTTAGGGACACAGATTCCAGAGTGCAGATCTTCTTGCCATTTCAGAGTTGGCTAATGGGTAGAACACAGTGTTATGTCAAGCTGAGGCTATTCCAGTGGGATATCAAGGGTTAGATCCTACTGGGCTGAGCGTTCTGTCTTTCTGGAAGCTGTGCTTAGGTGCTGGTTCTGCTGTGTTGATTCAGAGAAAAAATAAAAAAGCACACCTTCTTCCTAGCCTCAGCTTTCTGAGCACAGGACAGAAAATCAAATCCACACTCTTCAAGTTCGGGGTATAGAAGGCAGCATCTTGTGTGACTGTGCTTGCTAGAAGTCTATTAACACAAAGACCTAATTTTTTAATAAACTCTATCAATGGTAAGTAATTTATCACATGCAGAATTACCCAACAGATTTGTTCTTTAGATCTTGAGTAAATCAACATTTCCACAGTTACATCTTAGAAATTAATCTTTTGAATTTTAGTCATAACTAGATTAAACATCACTAATTTATAAGAAAAAAAATGACCTTATATTACCAATAATATAAACCTGGCATTACTTCACTCTATTGACTCCTTACCACTTTAAATTTCTGGGATGAGAATTTAATTTACAAATTGTAATTGTTTGACTTTTCAAATCAGCAGGTTTGATAATCTAATGGTTATCTGTGTTTCATCCGTTGTATTTCCCTTTACAGGAATCATCCCAGTTGTCTGGACTCCCTGAATATGTTAAAATAGTAGAAGTTGGACCTAGGGATGGACTGCAGAATGAAAAGGTAGTTTGATATCAAATTTATATAGTCAATTTCAAATGGTAAATTAAATATTTATATTTAGTAAGATTCTAAAGACTTACATGGATTTCATATGCTATACTATTATAGTTGTTCTCACTTGTTAGTAGAATTTATAAATAAGATTTGCTTTCAGTTAGGAAGTAATTTTCTACTTATGTTTCTGTAGACCCCATGCAAATTACTTATAAAATATCTTTTAATGTTTTCATAGGTTATAGTTCCTACAGATGTAAAAATTGAATTTATCAATCAACTTTCCCAAACCGGTTTGTCTGTAATAGAAGTGACCAGCTTTGTGCCCTCCAAATGGGTACCACAGGTATGTAATCCATAATTCCTTAACTAGATCCTTAATCCAGCTTTCCCAAGATTTAGAAAGCAGTGTGATATACATTGTGATATTTCCTGCTATAATTACTAATTCGCTGTGTTCTTATAGTGGCCCATGCACTCAGATGTGATTAAATAAAAACCTCTTTGATGAAATATATTAATTAAGTCCTAAAAATATTATTTAGAACTCCATCTTAATTCTATGTGAGTATATGATCCAAAATAATGAGTAGAGGAGAAGGCTCATCCTTGACATCTTTTCACTACCATTAAGTTTAAGGTTCCCCAGAGATTTTGTCTTCAGTAACTTTCTTATCCTGTGCTCTCTTCTTTGCTTATCCTTCCAACATCAGTAGTCCCGTCTAAGAGAATGACAGATCTGTGTTTCTTGTCCTCCTGTCTCTGATAACCTTTAGCTAGATGTGCTACAGCACCTCATCAGTGGGTTCAAAATCAAACTCATTATTGTCTGTCCTTCTTCATGCTAATAGCTCAACTGTTCTTTTTGGAATCTTGGATTTGAATGCTCAACAATTTGTCTCCTAAGTGTAGTCAGTTACTGACTCATAAAAATTTTTATTCCTCAGTATAGTTTATACCTGTCTCTTTTCAGTCTCATTGATACGTTAATAATCCACATTCTTGTTGACTAATTATTGTGATGGTTTCTCAAATGATATTTGTAATTACAGTTTCTCTTTTTCTTTTCCTCATGTATTTTGCGCATTGCTTCTAAAATAATCTCTGAGAAATAGCATTCTTAGGCTCATGTTCTAAGTTCTTTAGAGATTCCCTTCTCCCCATTGAAAAGGAAACTTCAACCCTGGTATTCAAGGCCTTCTACACTTGGTCTTTTTTTTTTTTTTTACCTTTTCTGTCTTAACTCTATTTTCCTACTTCATTCTGCTAAAGTTCTACCAAACTAAATTGCTTTTTGTTCCCTATTTACATGTCCTGCCTCTTTAGCTACATAGTAGTTTATCTATACTTATGTACATTTCTATTTCTGCATTGCTCTGAAGTTACAACAAGATGATGGGAAAGGGCTTAAAACATTAAAGCTTTTTTAATTGGAAGGCATTGGAAGCAACAGAAACCACAGTAGGATTAATAGTATTGGTAATATATTACTTTCCACCAAGTCATTATTCAAATATCAGAGTTACTTTTATTCATCCTCAAAATAGACTGTAATTTTTCTTCATCTAGTTGTCACTGTTTATAATTATATATTTTTCGTAAACATTTTCCCATTATCTGCTTCCCGAAATACAAGCTTTCGGAGGTAGTGACCATGTCTCTCTTGTTCATCACTGTATCCTCAGCACTTGGTGCCTAGTGAGTAGGTGCTCAGTAAATAATGGTGAAATGAATAATGAATCAGCGTGAAAAAGTAATAATATGTTACTTTTAGTTATTTGGTATGGTCAAGTGACTTTTACATTTGTTCACATATTTGGCCCTAATGAAGGTCCCAAATATTTTCTTCAGGAAGACACAAATAGCTTGATGAGACTATATGTATACCCTTTAAACTTTCATTTTGTACAATGCTAGCCGTTATTATTTCACTAGCTATCATTAATTTTAAGGGAATGTGAGACTGTTATCACCTTTAAGTCTTCGTGAAATTGCTTCTGTGTTCGATTCAGTTAGTGCTCATTTCACATATTTGATTGTCGTTGGAGAGACATCGGATAGTCTGATATAATTTTAGAGTAAGTGTTAAGAGAGAGAACAATTAATGGTAGTATTAATTGAAGACCAACCAAAATTATATTTCAGATATTATATTTTACTCGTCCTCTTCAAGATACTTTTATTTCCCAATAGTTTTATAAAGCTGCCTACAAAATATTCTTTGCTACTCTGATGCTCATGGTCACATTTTAGTATTACGCAATGCTGGAAATCGATTGGTTATTCTTCCTATTGATCTAGGACACACCCAATGACATTTAGAAGGACAAGGCTAGAACCCATTCTAAAGGGTCACACTTTTTCTTGCACAACTAGTTAAGAGAAAAGATGGACAGAACAAAAAGGAAGGCAGTCCTTCTGTGAGCAGTAATGGGAAAATGCCTTCTGGCCTCAACATTAAGTAGATACATGTGATGAGACCATAAAATAATATGATTTATTCTGGGCTTGGTCCTGAGGTGAATTTGGGACTTAACCTATTGAGATTTAATGAACTCTCCCTGGGCTCTAAGTATTTTTGAGTAAATGATAATTCCCCACGTAGCTCTTGAGGACAGCTGTGGTGAGGTGGAAGTACCTCTGATACTGTGTTCTGTCTACATTCTGCCTTGAGCTTGGAATAAGTGACTTAACCTCTTTGAACCTTGGAAATCCCAGCAGTGATGCCTGTAGTATGGAGGATTTGGAGCAGCAAGGCATGCAACAAGGTCTCTGTGTATTAATGCTCAGACTGTAACAATTATTTACGAATCAATCTAACACTTAAAAATATGGCCTAAGTACAAGTAAGTCCAGAGCACCTGGCTCCTGACCAGTTCTCAGTAGTGTTATCTAAGTGAATGTCTGACTGACGGACGGACTGACTGACTTACCCTGGGCTCCACAGGAGTTAACTGCCTTCTCTTTAATAAACAACTTTTTTCTTAAAGATTAAAATATGTGTTTAGTTTAAATATTTGATTGGGCCCAATCTGAATAATTAAAGATACTAATCCTTCAAAACATATTTAGTATATGTAACATATACTAAAGAATATGTTACATATTTCATTTTTAATACTTATGATTACATGCATTATAAACAACAAAGAAAGTGTTTTAAGTTAATCACATGGTTGTACAAGAGTGTCCCAGTCAAAGATATTATGAGATTGATATTCCAAAGTTATACTGGTCAGTTATTATATAACTTATCAAGTATTGTCAGGGGCAATATTGAGAATATTTCATTTTTACAATTTTATTTTCCATAGTTGTGTTTGTGTTTCAGAATTCACTGAGCTTGCCTAAGAACATTTTAATTGCTGTAGTCACAGGTTATCTCATGTAACTCTGCTGATTTCATTATTTTTATGCTAACAGAAAAGGCCTTAAGTCAGCAGAACTAATTTATAATGTTAATTTCTCTTTTTAAATTTCATATCATTTCCTCTTATTTTTTAAGAAACCCCTATGACATCAGACTCATCAAACTTAAATAATGTCTGAGATTTGTGACAGAACAATCAGTACAACAGCATATATCTAATTGTCTGAAGTAATTTCTATTTTTAGAGATAGTGAGTGTGGCCCTAAATTGGTTCCTTTAATTCTCTGAATCTTCTCCTATTTCTTTCCATCAAACATAGGTCATGGGAATAGTCATCTAGTTTATGTTTAGATTGCTGCTTGTTCACTTATTTCTTTTTTTAGTATTTTAAAGCTTTTTTACAGTTTCCCTCCTACTGTTTTGTTTGGCAGCGGCTTTCTAACTAAATCAGCTAAAGAAAAGTTCCATGGTAGCAGGGTGCCATATAAAACAGGATCCCACACCTATAATCTAAATGGCCAGAGATGATAAAGTACTTGCCATTTAAGAAAAATGTTCTTTACAACTTATCTAGAAAAAGGTTTCCTTAGAGTGACTTATAAGAACATTTGAAATAAGTCCAGATACCCCTCACTTCAAGGAAATGAACAACAGTAACAAGAGAAAGAAAACATGTTTATAAAAATAGGTTTACTGCAACTTTGGAATGTGGCTCTCAGTAGTAAGCTATTTAAATTATTATAAATACAGCAATTTTTAAAAGTAAACTAGAGTTTTACATTCATCCTTAATTTAGCCATTTGGTTTTAAAATATTTTCATTCACATGAGTTATCATAAAGTGATCATAAAATAATAATACAGTAAATGCACACAACACTGTATGTTTGTGTGTGTCATATGCAAAGTCTTAGTTATAAATATTTGCTCCCTGTTTAATTAATTTTTAACTGTTGGAATGGGTGGATCACAAATCTTGACATGTCAGCAAGGGCCAGAAATAGATTTACTCTATAAAAGTAGAAAGTAATATACATAAAAGACTGTAACAACTATTTACAAATCAGCCTAACACTTAAAAATATGGCCTAAGTACAATGTAAGCAAGAAGGAATGTGTAAACTTTTTCCTACTCTCCTTTTACTGTGTGTTGCAATTAATTCTTTATTGGTAATGAAAACAAATTTTACTGGATTGAAGTTTAAGATTCAGATTTACATTGATGACATGCAGGAGGCTATAGTTTCTGCTACTGAGTCCCCTCCTGGCTTCTATTCCTGGCTCTGTTCTTTTTGAGGGGGATGGGTGTGTGAAGAGGCAAGGAAGGGGGTAATTTAGCGGAAATGTTGATTTAGAGTGTGTGTGTGTATGTGTGTGTGCGCTCATGCTCGCCGTATGTGGGGGAAAGAGAGCACACATGGGAGAGAGTGAGGCTGTGTGCACAGATGCATAGAGTCTCCATATTCTTTTGCTTAAGAGGCACAATTAACTGGCAGGGTAATTTTATCATCTGAGAAGTGTTCCAGTGTGAGTCTTATTCATTATACTCCAGATGAGTTGGCCCCTGCCATCTCTCTGAAGAGGATCCTGGTGAAATTTACCAAGACCCCAGTTCCCATTTCATGGAGTTATAGAAGTCCTTTTATTTAGATGGGTTGAGGAGAAGGAGAGTGGGCTAAAAAGGGAGCAAGATTTAACCCCAACTCTCTGCAAAGGAGACTGATTATGCTCAATTCTCTGTTTAGTATACTTTTTTTACTACACACTAAGATGAATTGACTCCTTCTTAATCCCTGTTCTATTTGGTAACCTTAAACCTTGCATTTGCTATTTCTTTAATAGAGTTGGATCTGTTTAATTATCACAGTTAGCATTAGGAACTAGACAATTCAAATCACCCAAACTAGTCATTGGCGAAATCTCCATTTCCTTCTTTTTTTCTCCTAAATCAGTAGTCCAGGAACACATGCTAGCTTT